TTAACCTTTGTGGGCTTCAGTTTCCCTACCCGAAGAATGATGGTCTGGACTAAGTCGTGGGATAGTTTCAAGTACTATAAGGCTCAGAAAGTGAGGGTATCTCTCCTGAGGCCAGCAAGTAAGTCAGAGAAAAAGACTCGGCCAGAGGCCAAGGCTGTCACTCACCCCAGTCGTCTTTCTAAAGTCCCCCCACCCTATTCTCACGTGGGCTTCATGAGCAAATATTTGTGTACTACTGCCTGCGTGCGAAACATCCGCTCACCCCTGGTGTTTGTGGGACTTGGAATAAGAGTACACACAGAGGACCACATACCATATGTCTAAATATTTAAAAGTTATAAATCAAGCTAACAAACGATTAACTAAAATGTGTTCCAGTCTCCTACCTTGACAGATATACTGCTATAAATAACAATCTGGAAGGCTAGGTTCAAGTTTGAAATTCTTGTATTCCTCAGTGTTCTGAGCTGGAATGTGGTAGCCGAGAGTGGCTTCCCTCTCTTCCCAGTCTGCGTCCATCCCACATGGTTAGCTGATAGTGAGACCCCCCTAATTTGGAGACCCACCAAAGTGTGGGTCCTTGCCTGCCACCTAGAAAGAATTTACAGCTGAGGCAGAGGGACAGAGTGAAAACTGCTTTTATTTCTCAAAAGAGGAAAGGAAGGAAAGTGCTTGAGCAGGGAGAAGGAAAGAAAAGCAATCGAGTGGGAAAAGGAAGCACTTGAGTGAGGAGCCCTCAGCCAAGATGGCCGGAGAGACAGCTCTGGCCCGGGTTGGCCCACGTGAACTTTCATGTGAGGCTTCTGCCATCATGTCCTTCTGGGTGTGATGGAGCCAATCAGTCCTTGTAGGGGCTTTTCCGGTGGTTGTCATGGCAATCGTCAACTGTCATGGTGTTGGTGGGTGGGTTATTTAGCATGATAATACATTAAGGTGAGCGAATAATGAGGTTCAAGGTCCACTGGAAGTCAAATCCTACACCATCTTGGGCGTTGGTTCTAATTGAGTTCTTGTTTCTTCTCCTTGCAACTGCTTCCTGAGACTTAGATAATTGGTTTCTATTCGAGGGAGGGGCAGGAGTATGATCCTGGGGGCAACAGCCTTGGTAAGAAAAAGGAAAGTTGCTTTTAAGCAGAATGCCTGCATGCCTGGAATCTGGTGGACCCAGCATCCCCCCTGTCCAAAAAAATTTCCAAAGATTCTGTTCAGCCATGAAAGTTTTAAAGGGAAATGAAGAATCATCTCAATCGTTGAGCTAGGTGGTCAGAGTCGTGGCCATCCCCCAGTGCCTGGAGGCTTGTCCTAATCAACTGTCTGAGCCTGCTCTTCTGTGACTCAGGGAGGCCTGGAAGTCTCCAGCTCCTCTATAAACAAGAGGCAGGAGTTCAGGAGGGGGGTGCCACAGGGTGCTGCTCCCTTTCACCGCCACCAGGACCATTTCCCACACATGTCCTCAAGTGCAAACAGCTGTCCTTTAAGGGGCCACTTCTCAAATGTGCACAGTGGTGGCACAGTCTACCCTCAGGAGGATGGGCTAAGAAAAGCAGGTTCAGAATCTGTTGGGCAGGGAATCCTGAGGTCCCAGGTACCTGAAACTTGGTGGGCATGTCCTTGGTCCCCTGACTCCTCGCCTTCCATCTTGCCCAGTCTGAAGGTGGTACCTCAGGCTTTATGGGGCTGCAGACTTGGACCAAGTACAGCCCTGGACCATCCAAACACTATAAAGGGCAAGCTGGATGCCTGTGAGTGAGGATGGAGGGTGCCAAGAAGGGGCTCATTTCTTACATGAGGTAGCACTTGTGCTAAACCTACAGAGGTGGATGGGGTTTCAGCAGGTGGAGAAGTGGGAAAAGAAAGGAGCAAAGGCCTGAGGGCCAGCCATCCAGGGTTGGTTGTCTGTGAATTGTGACCGCAGTAGAAAGGCTGGAGGCGAATCTGTGTCCTCCTGTTAACAGGCTGTACTTCCAGTATCGCTGTACCACCACGTAGGGTGGGGCTGCCAGCTGTGGAGCCCCTGTGGGGCAGCCTCACCCATCAGAGCAGGATGAGAGACCCTACAGCCCATCCCAGGGGAGCTCCGCATTGAGCAAAAGTCCCCACCATACCTCCTTGGTAATCAGCAATTCTTTACCAATTCAAAATTGGGGAAGCTTAGCGACTCCCAGCTTTCATAAGGAATTTAGCCGCCCAGATTTGCTGTAAGAAATGAGCCCGGAAAGAAGTCTTCTTTAGGAATCATTGCGTCTACATCATTTTGTCTGCCAGCCAGAGGCTGCTGGAGGAGGAAGGCCCCTCATCTCCTCTGAGAGCAGCCTCTACCCAAGGGTGGGAGTTGGTGGACAAGTGCCCCAGCTCCCTGCCCTGCAGGGGGGATAATTCTGAGGTATGTGCTCTGTCCTACAGTTTGCCTCGGGATTACGCTCTGTTGCCCCCAGCACCAACTTATTTGATAAAACCATTGATGTCTGCCTTCTCCACTCTCCTGCTGGTGTGTGCGCAATCGTTTCACAAATCAAGTACTTCCCTTTGTATCTCAGGATCTGCCTCTGGGGGAATCTGAACTCAGCATAAGGACATTTCATGTTGCTGTAGGGCTCGAGGTACCTCATCTGCAAATAAAAGCATTGAATGAAGCCCTCCTTCCTGGGCTCTGCTGGGAGTTTGCCTCATTTACCTGCCTTGTATCAAATGAGACAGGGCACCTTGCTTTGTTTCACTCGGTGCCAGGCTGAACATGCCAGCAGGCGCTGCCTTGGCGAAATGGTCTTGTCTCCATGTGGTGTGTGTGTGTGTGTGTGTGTGTGTGACGTGTGCAAGCAGGAGGCATAGGGAGGGGAGAAATGGAAAGAATCTGGTATCCAAGCCCCCTCTGAGGGTGCCCATCAGAGGCAGTTGAAATCTGAATCCCTGAACTCAGGAGGAATTTTGTCTTTTCCTTTCATTAGAGGCCCCATGCTGAGTCCCTGCTGGCTGCCTCCAAACCAGTGCAGCAGGAATTACAAAGAAACACTAGGGCTTCCCGTCTGCCCCGCCCCTGCGCCCCCCACCCCCGGAAGCTTTTCTATAAAGCCACCTGCAAAGGCAAAGCGTTGCATCCTGGGCCACCTCTATATCACGCACTCACTTAGCATACCCCTCCTCCCTTTTCTTGCCCCTCTAATCAGCCACCAACTGCATCATGACAGAGAGTGCTAACTGCCCTGGTAGCCTCCGGGTGGCTGGGGGCCCCCTTCTTGATCTTTGGATGACAGGTTCCAGTCTGAAATTTCTCCTTAGGGGCTCGCCAGTCAATTGCACTTCCTGTGACCACCCCTCCTCCCTTGCTTTTTTTCCCCTGGGGCACAAAGCTTTGAGACAAGGCTGCTGGTTCCCCAGTTGTTGTCAGTGGTACTAGCTGACCTGATGGATGGGCCCTTGCTCTCCCCCACCCCCACCCCCTGATCCAGAGGCTTCTGATTGCTCCTTTGCACTGGGAAGAAATGTCTGATTTCACGGGCAGAGGCCATCTTTCTCAGGGAGATGCTTGGCTCAAAGCCCACTAGCCTGGAGAGGACTGAAGGCAAGGTCGACCCAATAAGCGCAGACCAGGGTTGTCGATGCAATCAGGCTGCTCTCACAACCACGTTTCTGTCTTTGGCTTGTTGCTGGGGGAGCGGAGGCTTCATGGGGCCAAGGTTTGGAATGAAGTCTGTGAGGACACCCCCAACACAAGGGGAGTGCTGCCTACCGCTCCCATCTGGGCAGGGTATGCCCATCCCTGGGGACAGGGACTTCATTTGGGGGGCTTCCTCCACCCACATCCCTACCCCATCTGCAGTATGGTTTCCTTCCTAGCAGAGGTTATGACAAGTTCAGCCATATTTTGGCTTTCCAGGCCCAAATGAAAGAAAACAAAAATTCCCCAGGGCACAGCAGCCTCAGAAGCTCAGCTTCACATCCCGAGACCTTGTTGTGGGATGGGACGTCTGGCCCCTCAGCGCTGGCACACCAAGGCCAGGGTAGCCGGGACGTGTGAGGTTGCCACGGATACCTGGGAGCCAGCTCCAGCAGAGCAGAGGGCCAGACCCTAAGGCCTGGCCTGGTGAATCTCCTGGGGCCAGAAGGATATGGGAATGTCCAAACTGCCACCGCCACCTTGAACAGACCCCCTCCACTACTCTCCTAAACCAGGGCTTTCCACTTTAGGGAGCCTAAGCACCTTGTTAAAATGCAGGTGCTGACTCAAGGGGTATGGGGAAGGGGGGGAGGTGCTGAGACTCCCCATTCCTAACCAGCTCCCAGATGCTGCTGCTGCTGCTGCCATTCGGGTGGGAGCCACACTCTGAGTTCTGATGGGTTTGAGAAATCTCAGCCAGGTCCTGAAAACGGCCCACTGGCCTTTTCTTTTAGGAGGTGGCAAGCAGAGCCTTGACCCCAAACCGGTTCTCTAGCCTTGTTGTAGTGAAAGGCCCTCCCCACAATCTGTTTTTGGACCATCCGCCATCAACCACTCCACAGAGAAAGGGACGAACACAGCAGCCTGCATTTTGGGAAAACATTATTTTAAGCTGTTCTGTCCCTTCCCCACCTCTGCAAATTATACGGCATGTCCTTGTTGAAAATGCTGATGATGCTGTTTGGGTGGCAGGAAGCCAATTTCTGGCTGGAAATTGCTTGGGGCTGGGGCTGGGGTCAGGGCAAGAGGCGGGGTTTGCAGAAGGTTTAAGGAGAGAAAGGGGCCAGGCAGATGGAGAAGCCAAGGCCTGCGGATAAAGCTGATTGGTGTGTCAGCAAAATCTGTCACTGGCTTTGGTGATTCGAAAGGCAGACACATTCTTTCGTCTCTGTTAATCCTCATCTGATACAGGATTTTCCTGCCATTAAATCTGGAGAAAGAAAAATAAGCACTCGAACCTGTACAAGCAACTATTTCTCCTGGTCCCCTGCTCACCATCGCCCCCACCCCCACTTTACTTGTCAGTCGGACCATTTTTAGCATCTGTGGCTGCCTGATTTGGGAGATGGATGGGCTCGGGGAGCCAAAGGGCACCTCGGAGGAGGAGCGGGACCAGGCAGACCCCCAGGATGGTAAGCGACATTTGGGGACTATTCGCTAATGCATCTCTGCAGAGGATTCCTCTTTGTCCATTTCCTTGCTGGGTTGTCAGGGAGTCCGTCTGAGTTGCTGTGAGGGTTTTAGCCTGATGAAGGGTTTCCAAGCAGATCCAGGCTGTCTGTTTGGGGGACTGTCTGATTGGCTGTTGTTACTGATTTCTCTTAACCCAACACCAAGATGGTGGGGAGAAATGCATGTGGAGAAAGGGGAAAGGCAGGGCATTCAGGAGGAAGTGGAGGTGTAGGGACGGGTCTGAGTGACCTGGTTCTCAAGGGACCCCTCCTGGGCACCCGGTGACCTGTGCTCTCTCCCCTCAGGTAGGGATCCCACAGCTGGGTGGTTCTAAGCCACCAGGTGCGTGAAAGGCTGCAGGATGCTGGTCCTGCTGCTGCTGCATGGTGAGTTCTGAGGCCCCCTCCTTCCGTCCCCTATCAGAGAGCTGCCAGTGGGTGCAGGGGTTGGGAAGCCGGTAGAAGATGCTAGAAGATGTGTGGAAACCACAGGGCTTCTACCCAAGAAGCATGGGCTTCAGGTGGCTTCCATGAAAGCGTACCTGGACACCAATTCTTTGATTAGGATTCACTGAGTGTGTGATAACGGGGGAGGGGATGGAGAATGAGAGAAAGCAGGTGATGGGGTTGTTTAAAAACAACTCCTGAGCCAAATATATGGAATAACCTCTTGGTGGTTTTCGTACTCTAATTTCAGATATGAATTCATTGGTGTAATCACCAAAAACTACAGTGGTTTTTCTAATCACATTATTTTAAGCTCATATACTAAAGTTAAAAAGAATTTCTTAAAGAAATCATCTTCCTAAAGGAAGAAGATGACACGAAAAATATAATGTTGGACTTGTGTGATTATGATGTTTAGAAATTTTTTCCAAGCTTTTTTTTGTCCTATTGTTATATGGGTTTTAACAGAAGGAGAAGACATCACAAATTTTTTCCATACCTGTACAGCTCCAGCTGTTCCAACCTAACCGAGATAGCCCAAGGGGAAAAAAAAATCCCTTGTTAAGTTCTGCAGTAAGCAATTCTGCACAAAGAATCGGTTTTTCTGACCCACAGTTGAATGTAATTACTTGAGGTTCTAACTACCCATAACTCTCTCTGCAGTGCTGGTAGAGAAAATGTTACCAGATAATTCTAAAAATGGTAGTAGTCTTCAACGAAACATAAAAATAAATAGTGACTAAAAATGGTAGTAATAGAATTTTATTCTTTATTCTATCTGTTCAAAAAGTAGAACTTGCTCTACTCACTAAATCAACAGGTACACACTGTACCTGTAATACACTCGGGGATCTCACGAGAGAGATAATTGCGTATCTTTTGTCCTTGAGAAACTTACATTCTTTAATGGCAGACTCAATAAGTAAATGAGAAAAAAAATTGGAACAAGGTGCAGGGAACAGTTTGATAAATAGGACATGACTTCCTAGCTGGGGGAGCCTCCAAAGGACAGAGGGTGACATTTATATAATTACAAACAGCCACCTCCTTGCTGTTTCTCCTACCTAGAAAGAATATGAAATTCGATTGAGTCATCGGGACAGAATGTTTGCTTCTAAGAGCTAATATTATTTTAAATATGTACCCAAAGCTCTCTCGTTCCTCACAGAATGCAGACAGTATTCCTAGCCTGCGTGCTGCAAAACAGGAACTGTCCCTGCTGCAGAAACCCGAAATACATCCAGACTTCTTGTGACAAGCTGGAGAGCTGAGCGGTGACATCATTTGCTAACAATAGATGCACTTAAAATTAATGACTGTCTCCACATCCCCTGGCGCTTTCATTTAAACGCACTGGGTGATGTTACTCTGACTACAAGTCACAAGGATTCTGGACGACATGTTCCCGAGAAGCAGGCAGGGACAGGACTCTCCCTCTCCAGCTAGAGAAAAATGACTAAATCCGCCTGACAAAACAAGGTCGTGGTGGAATCAGAAGTGGCTCATAGCTGGGTCAGGCAGAGGCAAAACGGAAACAGAAATTATCTTGACACGAGGGGCTCCTGGAAGGGCCTCTCCTCTCCCCTGACCCCCAGGACGACCCCATCGGGGTCTTCCAGCTGTCCACAGCACAATATCCCACTTTTTCATCTTGCTTTACAGGGTTCTTCGCCACCAGCTTGCTCTAAACCGTGAGTCTTTCAAAAGGGCCAGGGTTTGTGTTTTATTCACCTCGCTGTCTCTAGAGTCTTAGAGCAAGATTTGCTTGTTAAATGGGGGAAGCTGTCCAGATGAGAGCCATTACAATATCTGATAAAGGTCTTGCATTAAAAAAATGTATTTTAAACCCTTCAAACCCAATAATAAGACAGCCCAATTTTTGAAAATTGGCAACAATTTTTGAATAGCTGTTTCATCAAGGAAGATATACAAAATGCTAATAAAGCATATGAGACGATGCTCAATATCAGTAGTCATTAGGGAAAGGCAAGTCCAAACCACAATGAGAGGCCACTTCCCACCCACTAGGACAGCTAGAATCAAAGACAGTAGCAAGTGGTGGTGAGGATGTGGAGCAACTGGGAGCATATCCACGGCTGTTGGGAATGCAAAATGGTGTGGCCACTGTGGAGAACGGTTTGGTGGTTTCTTCTGTAGTTAACATATCCTTACCATATGAGCCAGCCATCCCACGCCTCGATAAATGAGAAATGAAAACACAGGTCCACAAAAAGACTTGCACCCAATTCCTTACATCAGCTTTAGTCACAATAGGTGAAAACTGGAAACAATCCAAATGTCCAGCAGCAGGTGACTGAATACACAAATGATGGTACATCCGTACAATGGAACGCGGCTCAGCAGTAGCAGGGAATCCCCAGCTGATACTCAGAATGACATCGATGAATCTCACAAACATAATGTTGACTGAAAGAACCATTTGATTTCATTTACATGAAGTTCTAGAACAGACAAGACTAATCTATAGTTCAGAAAGAGGAGGATAGGGAGGGGGCTGCTGTCAAGGGGCCTGAGGAAACTCTCTAGGTAGTAGGAACATTCTCAGTTGTGACTGGGGTGGTGGTTACACGGGTGTATACGTTTGTTATACTTGCTGAACTACATACACTTTAAATGGATACATATTATTGTGAGTAAATGATACCTGAATCGACCTGACTTCAAAGAAAAAAGGAAGGCTGTAAGGAGAGAGCAGCTGCCCTCAAGGAGAACAAATCCCTCGTTATGGAGGGTCAGGTGCTGTTGGAGAGCTGGGCTGAATGTGTGTGAGATTCATCCATGTCATCACATAGATAAGTAGCTCGTTCCTTTTTTTAAAATAATTTATTCCATTTATTTATTTCTTAAATAAGCAGTTTTCCTGTATTTTTGTTATTTTGGTCATAGTTTCCATAAGTTAGCTTTATTTTTAATTGCATTTTTTTTAGTAACTTGATAATCAGCTTTATTTTGGGGGGGAGGTAACTAGGTTTATTTATTTATTTGTTTGTTTTTTGATGGCAGTACTGGGGATTGAACCCAGGACCTCGTGCATGCTGAGTGTTTGCTCTACCACTGAGCCATACCCTTCCCCGTAGCTCGTTCCTTTTGATGGCTGAGTAGTTTTGCCTCATCTGGGTGTATTGGTTTCTTTATCCATTCCCCAATTGTTGAGCATTTCAGTGGTTTCTAGTTTATGGCAATTATATTTAGGCCTGGAGGCCTTTCTGGGGCCTTGTACCCTCCTCCTCAGATGGGACAGCTCTCCACCTTGAGATCCACAGGGCCTGCGAGGCCATCAGCAGACCACCCGTCCGCACAGGAACTGGTTTCTCCATCCCCATGACTCACACTGTCCAGCAAAGCTGCAGCATGAATCCATGATCCTTTCTTTCCTGTCACAAAAGGTACCATCGTGATGTGAGAAGCAAGTTCGGGGGTCACTGTGAGGTCGGAGGGGATGGGGTGGTCTCCCCTACTACATTTCTGTTTCCCTCAGCCCATTTGGTCCTGAAAATCCAGCACTGGGGGTTGTTCTGAGGATGCAGTTGGGATAGCATTTGCCGGGAGTGGGAGGGAAATGGCTTCTAGAGCCAAAGTGGCTGAAGAGATTTTGCTGAAACCAGAAAATTGACCATATTTTCCCTTGCTATTTTGGTTTCATGAGGCACAAGTTCTTTGAAAACAATGAGAATGAAGAAATGCTTCAAAATCAGTCTGTGGTTGGAAATTCCATGAGTAACTGTTTTCCTAGCAAACCTCAAGGGGGAAAAGCACATATTCAAAAGCCAGGACCGACGAAGGAGAAATCCCTCAGCTGGTCTGCATTAAGACATCATTCTGCGGGCGTCTGAGCCTGGACCGTTGCCGCCTCCCTGAAGCTCGGGGGGCCGGCCTGTACCCTGGACCAGGACACAAAGGCAGGGACCCATTTCTGGTATTTGCCTCAATTCAGGGACATCTTGTAACATTTTTTTTGTTTGAAGGAAAAGTCACATAACAAAAGATTAACCATTAACCATTTTAAAGTGTACAATTCGGCAGCATTTAGGACATTCACAGTGTTATGCAACCAACCCTCTATCCAGTTCCAAGACATTTCCATCACCCTGAAAGGAAACTTTGTGCCTTAATAGCAATCACTCCCCACTCTCTCCTCCCCTCAGCCTCTGACAACCACTAATCTACTTTCTGTCTCTATGGATTTTCCTGTTCTGGACATTTCACATAAATGGAATCCTATGACATGTGGCCTTGTGTGTCTGCCTGTTGTCACCTAGTATAGTGTTTTAGAGGGTCATCCACCTGGCAGCAGGTGTCAGCACTTCATTCCTTTTTCTGGTAGATTAATATTCCACTGGGTGGCTATACTTTGCTTTTGTTTATCTGTTTATCTGTTGAGGAACATTTGCTGTTTCCGTCTTTGGGCTGTTGTGACTAGCGCTGTATGGATGTCCACGTGCAAGTATTTGCTACAACACCTGTTCTCACCTAGGAGTGGAATTGCTGGGGCA